GAAACTTTCAAAAATAAATAAATAAATAAAATAAAATAAAATAAAAATAAAAAAAGAAAGAAACCAGTGTCTCCTTGTGGCCAGCAAATAGTTGCCCATGACCTGGAGTCTTGTACACCCGTGTTATTCCTTCCACGAGCCCATATGTGGCTCTGGACATTTGAAGGCCTCTGACCCCACAGTGCCCATGCTCTGCTGCATGCTTGTGACACTCTATGCCCAGGACACTGGTTGCTGAAGGCCTGATCCCGCAACCATACTCTGGAAGGCTGCTTATTATTTACCAGCAAGCAGCTTCAGACTATCCTCAGCCTGGCTAACCATCCAACTTCTCTGCGATCTAGTGAGCCTCTACCTGTTCCAGTGAAGTTTGAACCCCTTTCAAGTTTGTCCTTCCTCAAGCATTTATGAAAAAGTACAATATCATTTCTTTTATGTGTGTATGATACTGGGACTTAAACTCAGGGGTGCTCTACCTTGTTCAACAATCCCAGCTCGGATGTGATGGTGATCTGGCTGCGACATCTGTCACCCCATTGATCGCCAAGGTTGATTCAGCTGATCTGGCTGGCTAGCCGGGTGTCCCCTTCCTCCTTCAGTGATCATGTGTGTCCCTCCCGAAGCTGCGCGCTCGGTCGAAGAGGACGACCACCCCCGATAGAGGAGGACCGTTCCTCGGTCAAGGGTATACGACTAGCTGTGCTCCCCTGCTAGAACCTCCAAACAAGCTCTCAGCAATCCCAGCTCTTTAAAGCAGTGTCTCCTTCAGTATCCCAGGCTGGCCTTGAACTTACCATCTTCCTGACTCAGCCTCCTAACTACCTGAGGTTACAGGTTCACACTATAACCTTGCTTACATTTCTCATTGCTGAGACAAAATACTCAACACTGAAAATTTAAAGGAGGAAAGGTTTATTGTGCCTCACAGTTTGTAGAGGCCTCAGTTTGTAGTTGGCTGGCTCTAAGCTAGAGTAACATGGCAGAGGGGCGTCACAGGGAGAAACAGTTCATGGCAGACAGAAAGCAGTAAGTGACAAGTAGCAGCCCTCTTTCTGTTCCTTGTATCCTATCACAGCCCAAGGCAGGGCAGCCTTAATCCTAGCATTGCACCAAGAATCAATCTAAGCATTCCGTCCTTGATATCAGCATCACACACCCTGGATCCAGCCCCCTCTGAAAAGCCCCACCTATGACTGAATGAGGCTTTTGGGGCACATCTAGATACAAGCCATAATACATCACCAGGCCTGAATGGCATCATACATGATGGTAAAAGACTGTACTTTCCCTCTAACATCAGGAAAAAGACAGGCTGTCCACCATTATCATTCAACATTGTACTAGTTTCTAGCCAATCAGGCAAGAAAGAAAATTAAAGGGGCTGGGGAGATGGCTCAGTAGAATAAATGCTTCCCTGGCAAGTGCAAGGGCCTGAGTTCAATGCCTGGTTCCGCAAAAAAAAGAAAAGAAAAGAAAGTTAAAGAAATCAAAGTCATGAAATAAAAGTAAAATTGTTTTTATTTGCAAATAACATAGTCATTGATGAAAAAATCTCATGGAATTACAAAAGCAGCTACTAGAATTGAATTTAGCCAAGGCTGCTAGATACAAGATCAGTATACAACAATTGTTATGTCTCTATTCTGGCAAAGATTAATTGTGAGTTGAAAAAATGATGGCACTCACACTATCAAAAATATGAACTATTTATGGATAAATCTGGCAAAAGACAAAAGATATAAAAAATAAACACTATAAAACATTTCTTTTTTAATTTTTTTTATTTTAAAGAGAAAAATAAAACCATTTCAAAAATAAAAAATAAATAAAACCATTTCAAAACAGGTTAATAGGAGAGTTACAATAGTTTATATGTTGCATATTTTTGGATTCATAGTAGTTATTTAGAGTTTAAGATATAGCCATGATATCTTGTCCAAACAATATTAGCACAATATTAACCTTTCTTTTCAAAGAACTAAGAGAAACTAGCTATATGCCTTAACTATCTTGTTTATAAATATTTTTTTCTTTTTCCATTTCTTTCTCCCCCATCATAGTTTGTCTTTTTTTTTTAACAGTCCCTTCCCAATAACACTATCCATTGTACATTTTGGATCTTATTTACTAGTTCAGTTTCTCACACTGGTGACACGATACAATGTTTACACATATGGGTCTGATTTATTTCACTTATGAGTGTGGTCTCTGAGTTGCATGCATTTACCTATAAAAGTCTCCAGTTTATCCTTCTTTAGCCTAAAAAACCACATCTTTTTATCCACTTGGTTGATAGGTATTTGTGTTATTTCCAAGATCTAGCTGTTACAAATAGAGCTGTTATAAACATTGGTGCACATATGTTGCTGTGGTGTGATATTTTAACTTCTTCTAAGAAGGTACCCAGAAGGGAAATAGCTGGGTTGAATGGGACCTCTAATCCTAGTCTTATAAGCAATCTTGACAGAGTCTGATACCCATTCTTGACTTTAAAAAACCTACAGAAAATTGAAATAGGTGGTCTTCACCTCAATCTTATAAAGGCCATCTATGACAAACCAACAGCTAACATCATATTAAATGGTCGAACACTGAAAGCTGTCACTCTAAGATCAGGAACAAGACAAAGATGTCAATTATCACCACTCCTATTCAATATAGTTCTGGAAACACTAGCTAGAGCAATTAGGCAAGAGAGAAAAATAAAAGAAATAAGGATAGGAGAGGAAGAAATTAAATTATCATTATTTGCAGGTGACATGATACTCTACACCAAAAATTCCACCAAAAAAAATTGTAGATTTAATCTCCAACTTCAGTAGTATAGTAGGACACAAAGTCAGCACTCAGGGGCTGGGGAGATAGCTCAGTGGAGTAAGTGCTTGTCTGGCAAGCTCAAGGTCTTAAGTTCAATCCCTGGTACCACCAAAAAAAAAAAAAAAAAAAACAAAGTCAACACTCAAAAGTCAATAGCATTCCTATTGCTGTGTTATGATATTTTTAGTTCTTCTAAGAAGAAACCCAGAAGGGGAATAAGTAAGAAACTCAGAGAAATTAGGGAAAGCATCTCTTCACAGTAGCATCTTAAAAAATTAATTATTTAGGAATCAATCCAAGAAAGTATATAAAAGATTAGGACACTAAAATTGCAATACACCCCCCCCCAAAAAAAAAGGAGAGCAAAGAGGATATCAGAAAATGGAAAGCTATCCCTTGCTCTTGGATAGGAAGAACCAACATAGTGAAAATGGCCATACTCCCAAAACTACTATACAGATTTAATGCAGCCCCAATCATAATACCGTTAGCATATCTCACAGAGAAAACACTTCTGTAAGAAAATTTGCTTATAATCCCAAAGTGAGCACCTGTGGCACTGTTTCAATCATTTGTGGACCTGTGCAGGGCAGAAAAAAGCTTGAGTGGCTTAATACACACATACCAGCTAAATGTAAATAAGGTGACTCCTTACTTTTTTTTTTAAAATTTAGTTCTCATTCCATAAATAAATGTCCTTTTCCATCTTTAGAGCCACAGTCTTTGTATTTGTGCTTTTTTTGGTGGGTTTAAACTGGTCTCCGAGCTGGGTTTGGTGACATGCCTGTAATCCCAGAACTAGGAAGGCTGAGGTAGGAGGATTCTTGCAAGTTCAAGGCCAACGAAATGAGTTCAAGGTCACCCTGGACTATGTCTAGATGCTAAATAAGTAAGTCTCCAAGCATGGTGCTGAAGCGTTGCCCTTTCCTTCTATGTGCAAGCCAGCTGCAATGAACCTTACAGGGAAAACACCCACGTTAGATAAGCTTTGTTCACGCATGAATTATGGTGCTATTGCTTGTGAATTCAGTGTGGATGAATAACAATAGATAATATGTAAGATACTTCAAACAGAAGCACACATAAAACAAAGTAATGTTGATCAGTTCGTGAGACTGTTGTCAACATAGGCTCACAGGAAGCTAGCACTCTGTTTCTCTTAGGAACAATGGTGTGTTCAGTTTTTGCCAGCTCATTGTTCATGGAGAAGCTATAAAACATAACTCCCATAAATAATGAGAAAATTCAGTATTTTGATATGGCAATTCGTAACACCTAAAATGGCCAAAACAGCCGTGGAAAAGATCAAAATCGAAGGACTAACGCTATCTGATTTCCAGAAGGACTGTGAAGCAGCATTAACAAGAATAGTGGGGTATTGACATAAAGATATATAGCTAGACCAAAAAATATAGACAGTATCCAAAAATAGGCCCATACATATATGGATGATGAGTTTTAACAAAGGCAGAAAGGTAATGCAGTGTAAAAGGACAGCCTTTTAACAAACAGTGTTAGTGGGCTGGAGAGATGGCTCAGTGGTCTAAAGCACCTACTTGGAACAAGCTTGGCAAACCCAGGGACCGCGGTTCGATCCCCCAGCACCACATGCCAGCCAGCCCCGCCCCCTGGTGGGCTGAGCTGGCCACACACACACACCACTCTCTCTCTCTCTCTCTCTCTCTCTCTCTCTCAAATAAATAAAACAATTAAAAAAAATTA